ATAATAATAATAATAATAATGATAATAATAATAATAATAATAATAATAATAATAATAATAATAATAATAATAATAATGATGATGATGATGATAATAATAATAATAATAATAATAATAATAATAATAATAATAATAATGTATTTCCGTGTGATTTCCGTATATTAGTACTTTAAAGTACTAGTACGGAAAAGTGTCCAATTCCGTACAAATTGTTTTGTAACGTATGTATTCAGTGCCTTTTAGACGGTTTTTTTTCATAGGGATATGTTGTTCTGCTTTTTCAAGCAAGGACCGGAAGTTATTCCCTCCCTATTCAAGTTAATAATGATCACAAAGATTATTTTATTTTTATTTACACAGTAATTTGATAAATTAGTTAATCCTAATCAATGAACGTAAATTTCTCATCTAACTTCTGAATTACCTATCTATTTCTCAGTATCGTATTAAACGAAACCCGATCGTTTGACTTTGAACCATTTTCTGGTAACTTAGATTTGATTGGCTATTTTTCTAGAAATTAGATTTTGCGCTATGCACACAAATGCATCCGTCTTACGCGTCACAAAATTTTAGCCTATTAAAATTTGGTTGGTCATATTAATCATGAATGGAAGCGAAAGCAAATTTATACCAATGTTTTTAGAGAACCATTCCTGAAGATAGTGATGTTAATGAGAATAAGGAGCTAGATGTCAAAACTAACAAAAAATTGGACTCTAATATGTACTTCCCAACTTGGAAAGTTATCGTTATATTAAACAATGAGCACAACAACAAGGATTTAAGGGAAATTTGAAAATCACATATGAAAACAAACTTTTGTTTATAGTTTGTAGTTGTAAAGTTACCAATAAAAAAAAAGAAGTGGAATTAAACCATCTAAATCACAAAGAACAAATTGTAATTTGCACCTAAATCTTTCGCGTCCTATCAAAATCATCCAAATGGTCTCATATGTATACTACGTTTTATAATGAACATTTTGGACACCTACTTTATCCTTCTGTAAGAAGATTTGAGTCAAAAAAATGCATTTACAAAACCTATTCTAAACGATATTGGACGGATGTGGCTTACAAAATCTATTTTGTAACTTTCAGAAAATTTTTTCTATTAAATTATCAAATATGTATGAAACCAAGTGTAGATTATTGTTTAAACTTCAGTCATCAATGCCCATAAAGATTTATTAGAAGCAAAGTCTTTAATTTCTTACTAATGAAGAGATCAAATTTTTATTTCTATTATTAAAAAATTTAATCCAATTAATTTGAATATTCATGAAGGTTTATTTGAGACAAAAAATTTTTTATATAACTATTTGTTTATATTATATACGATTTTGGGAAAGGCTTTACAGATGGATGTAAAATATAGAATTTTTATCAATTGGGAGATTGACATCTTACATTTATCTAATGATGCTTCATTTATATTAATTATTTGAATGTAATGTTTATTCAATTATATAATATATAGTAATGGATATATGAAAACTATTACCGGTTACATACTGACCCATTTCTCTATGATCCATCAAATAGAATTTTAAACATAAATGCGTCAAATAAAAGCGGTTCGTCGTGATCGACGTTACACATCCCATAAAAGTTTCAAAATTTATAAATTACAAGAAAAAAAATTTTTCTTTTTCCTTTATAAATTAAATGATTATTGATTGATCGATAGTATGTATTCAAATATCACTCAAAGGATATCGCACACATTGAGAAATAAAAATGTTGTTATGGTAAGTTAGAAAAAAAAATTTTTTTACATAAAGTAATTTCTTGAATGTTTCAATTATTTATTAAAAAAAAATTTTTTTTTAAAAAAATTGATTATCAAAAATTTGATATTTTGGTAGCAACAACTTTTTTCTCGTTCTTTGTTCACGCATAATAAAAAATTAAACATCATATTTATAAATCAAATTCCAATAATTCCAATACCATCATCATCATCATCATCGTCGGCATCATCGTCAGCATCATCATCAGCATCATTATTTAATCAACATAGATTCATTAGCACAAAAGCGGCTACCAACACAAACGCCAATTCATCAACATCAGCCATTGAATATAAACTTTCGCATCCTCGAAAACGTATACCGCCACTACCGAAAGTAGAAGCATCATTAGCCGAAGAAGCTGTTACTAATATTCTTTACAATACACCAAATCCACCATCACCTTCAAAACGACACATCTTGAATTGCTTGGTACAAGACGAACCTGGTGTTTTAAGTAGAGTCAGTGGTATTTTGGCTGGGAGAGGTTTTAATATTGATTCGTTGGTTGTGGCTAATACTGAAGTACCTGATCTAAGTAGAATGACAATTGTTTTGAGTGGTCAGGATGTTGTCGTGGAACAAGCTAGAAGACAATTACAAGATTTGGTAATTTTAAATTTTGTTACAAAAATCCTTTTCCAAATTTGTGTTGATCTTTCTTTTTTTTTAAAAAAAAAAAAATAGGTGCCGGTATGGGCTGTTCTTGATTATACTGAAACAACTATTGTGGAACGTGAAATGTTATTGGTTAAAGTGTCTATTTTAGGACCTGAACATTTTTATGAACAATTGGCTTCACTTAAGCACATAGAGTATGATGATGAGTTTATGCCTGAAGCTGATTTAGAGATAGAGGTGCAAAAGAATTTCTTGATTATTGTTTAAATTTTTTAAATAAATGAACTAGCATTCTCACATTTTTAAATATGTAGCATCCAGATGTTACATCTGTTTTAAATGCAACTTCCATTGATGAAAAACAACGTTCACCATCATCTGCATTACAACATAAACACGAGCATTTACGTTCGTTAACTGATTTAAGTAAATTATTTGGAGCGAAAATTGTTGATGTGTCAAATGACAGCGTTATAATAGAGTTGACCGCCAAACCTATTAGATTAGACGCATTCATCAAATTAATAAAGCCTTTTGGTATTTTAGAAGCAGCAAGAAGTGGTAAGTTGTTGTTAACATGTAATCTTAATAATAACAATAATAATAATAATAATAATAATAATAATAATATTAAAATAACTTTTTTTAAAAAAAATAAAGGAATGATGGCATTACCACGTACTCCACTTTATGATAATGTCATTGAAACAATTACAGAAGAGGATGATGATACTGGTGTGGATGCAACAATGTTACCACCTGGATAATAATTTAATAAATACATATACAAATATTATATTTGTAAATTTAATTTTCATATTACAATAAATAACATAACAAATTTAACTTTGAAAATTTAAAATGTCCAATAGATAAAATTATAATTATAATCATCAATTAGAAATCAATCCACCTGGAAAATGTAAATTTCCAAAACTAATTCAATCAGAGATTGTTAATAATAAATATATTCAATTAATAATAATCCATAGAAATTTTTTTAGTAAAAGAACCTTTTTCACATAGGCTGGTCATTATAAAAAATCTTTTCTAATGCCCATGCTTTCCAACTTCTTGGTTACCATGTGATTGTTTCTTGAATGTTATTATTAAATCTTTTTATATCAATAGGGTTAAATTTACTTGGACCCTTTTATCCTACCTAAGGTTATATAAATATAGATATACATAATATGCATGTTTTCGTTTATATATCTATATATTAAATTGAATCGATTATTGTTTCCTAATTTACAACCCATTCTTTGTATCATCCTTTAATCACCTGCATAATATCAACAACTATTATTTTTTAAAAAACAAAATAAAAAGTATAATTAAAAAAAATCAGATTTAACTTGATCTGCACGGACGGGTTCAAGCCACACCAGCTTGTCCTCCGTCCTTTTCAAGTTTGGCCCATTAATACTAGAAAAGGATGGGTGATGATGGTACGGGTATTCTGCAAAATAATGTAAAAAAGAACGGGTAACTAACATGGAACAGGTGTGGCATGGTGAAGGCGTAGAAAACCGTCCCCTGTCCCTTTCTATTATTCATGGGCAAATCTTGAAAAGGACAGGTGAAAAAAGGACGGGTTACTGTGCCATTACCACCCGTTCCACTGTCCTTTTCTATTATTCATGAAAAGGACGGGCCAATGTGCCATTACCACTCGCCCCACCGTTCCTTTTTATTATTTGCAGGCAAACCATGAAAAGGACAGGTGAAAGGTGTTTGTCATAATATAATTTTAGTAAACAGGCTGCAAAATTGGACTATTATAATTTTCCGTCTCTATTTATTCCTTATCTAAAGTCTTGATTTTTATTTTTATTATACAATTGAGGTTAAAACTTATGTAAAAATAAAATAATGAAAGATATAAATCATAATAGATAATAAATAAGCTAATTAAAATATATAATAATAATATAATCGGATACATGAAAAGGACAGGGGACGGGCAGGTATGGCTTGAACCCGTCCCCTGTCCTTTTCATTTTGCATTATTATATTTATTATACAATATTGCAAATATTAATGCCGTCCTTTTTAAGAAAACATCAGGTACGGGCAGTAACGGCGCAGCATATCCATTCCTTTTCACCTGACTTTCTCAAGATTTCTCCATGAATAATAGAAAAAGACGGGGGACGGGTTCAAGCCACACCTGCCCGTCCCCCGTCCTTTTCATGTGTCCCGATCTCTTGCACACTTATTCTTCCTTTGATAACCATCATCATTTATAACAGTCAATTGTTCCTATTTACCTTTAACAGTTACTTAAACAATAATCATTAAAATAATTTTTAAAGAACAAATAATAAATACATGATACTTACAATAATAAACCTATTAGCATCAAGATCAAAAGTATCTTCAACTGAAGATAAACTGTTCGTTATAAGTTGGTGGATTGTTGTCAAAAAACATTTATCCCATGAAATTATTAGTCTTGACAAATGGACTTCCCTCTTGATAAATGTTAATGACTATCATCAGGAAAATAAATCTTACATAAACCTACGTATGGTTCAGAATTGGCCAGCATTATATCGATATTTTGGTAATTCTGTTAACATTTCCGCATAATGCTGGTCAGTTTTAAACCCTACGTAGGTTTACATGAGATTTATTTTCCTGATGATACTTGTAGAATTGATTGGCAAGGTTTCCACTATCTTAACTAAAACCACACTATTGGGCTTAATAATTGAAAAAATCAGAATCAAAACACGAGAGGATCCACCAACCAAAATAATTTCATTTACGCATTTTAGCATCCTGAAGCATTTTTTTCATAGTGTCTATTGCTAAGCAGGACAGATCATCATTTGATTCCTCGAATTTTGAACATGTAACAATAGTATAGAAATCAATGTCTTTGAAAAATGAATCAATCTCAATAGTTGTCTGACTTGAAGTGCATGTTTAGCCGGACAATATTGACCAATTTTTTCATTGCAATCAGGACATTTACGTCGTGAATTTTCTATCCCTGTTTACCACATTTATTACACCTTTTTTGCCTATTACTATTAAAAAAATATTATTTTCGCATTCCATGTTAATTAAACTTTTACTTTCAAAAAAAATAAAATGGATCCAGTAAAATTAGTTGAACATAAAAAAAGCAAAATATTACAAGTGAGATATGAGTAAGTATCACCATAGCTGTTATTTTGTTCAGTCCAAGCTCTTTTTAGTGAACTTTGGCTCTAATCACAGAAAAAACAACGATGACAATCAAAAAAATCATTCAAAATATACAATCATCAATAAATCAAGAATATAATATATCTATGATAAATATTGAAGAAAAAGAGAAATAAAGATACTATTAACAAATAACTTAAGAAATTGTATAAATGAATATGACAAAGTATAAGCAAAGTTTATTTACTAATTAATTCATTTTATATTTTGTTAACAACTATTTTGTTTTATTTTTAAAAAGCTGGTAGAAAATTTTCATAGTTTACAAAATACATTTAGTAATGATGATATGACAAATTATTTTATTAATAGAGGAAGGGAAGAGAGCACAGACAATATTAACAATGATAACAATGAAGTTGTATATCCCACTTCTTGTTTTTATTTATTTGCTTTTACCTATATAATTAATCTACTTTTAAATTCTTACCACAAACATTACAGAATCAACAACTTGACAATGGCTTATCTGACGATGTCAATGATTTTATTTGAACTTAACCTTACACCTTCAATTTGTTATAATGAAAGAGATTTAGGCCATCAAGAAAACCGACAACGAAAATTCTATCATAATGATAATATTGGTGACTCTACATGGAAATATTAAATACTGTAATGATCGACGTTATGAAAAATTCTAGAAGAAATTTTGATTGGCTAAATTCTGTGGAGATCTTTTCGTTTTTTTGAATAAGAAATAAAGAAAAACATGGCGGGAGCTTTATTAACTGGTCATATTACAGGATCAAGCAATATGAGAATGTCACTGTTTGTGATTTTAACATATAGTATATTAATCAGATAGATGATTTTAACATTATATACAAATTTTTCCTTTACCTATCATTCATAATATCTCATTTAATAAAAATAATTGATAACAAAAATAATCAATCAATATTAACTAAATTATTCACCTTACCCATTGAATATATACATGCATAAAACCAGAATATTCCTAATAATTCATAAAACAATAAATACATAAATTTAATATGTATGTATATATATATATATATATATACACATATATAAAATTATTTCAAGTAATTCTTACATTTAAATATTTGTAAAGTTAGATAAAGGCAAATTTAGTGCATATTAATTGATAGTCTGAAACTAGAAGTTTGTTCTATATTCCTATGTTTACTATTAATAAGAAATTTTGTAAAGTTGGTTAACAAAAATCACTCTTTTTAAATTACTCTTTTTTTTAAACTAACATATTTGAGATCTAGAACTTACTGTGAAAGATCTTAGTTAATCTGAAACCAAAGGTTTTATTTTATCTATTCTTCCGATAGTATTATTAAAAAGAATTTTTGTATAAAGTTACAAGGCTTTTAACGAAATTCCCCTTTTTTAACTCATTTATTTTTTGAAATCTTGGACCCAGTGACCCAGCTTTTAGAATATTGTTGAGTAAGTGTGACAAATAAACAGTATAAAGTGTTAACAGTTGGTTTTTGTGTTTTATCCAAAAAAATTTAAAAAATATATTTAAAAAAACAAATTCCTAGTGCATAACTTTCTTTGATTTTAGAAACAACATATTTTGAACAATTTGACTGATTATTAGTGATTACTGAGTGATTACAAAAGAGAAAATTGAATATTATTTATTCCGATTATTATAATTTGGATTTTTTAAAAAAAAATTTTCGTTTAGATATTATGGAAGCATCACGTAAACTCTATATGAATTGATCGACGAGGGGGTTCGAATTTTTCCAGAATCGATTTCCATATTAATATTGGGTAAAATACCTGACTGATTACATAATATGTCAAAAAAAAATAATACGCAGAAATTTCTGCATTTTCCCATCAATCGTGAGATTTGAGTCTTTTAACAATTTCTATGATGCAGAAATGGAGTGATGAATATTATGAAAAAAAAAAAAAAAAAAAAAAAAAAAATAGGCAGAAAATATGAAAATGTCACCCGTATTTAGGTAAAATTGGAAGCATCAATAAAAGTTCCTTTAAATAAAAATCTTCTGCAATACATCATCACTACTTTCATCCTCGCATCTTACTTGATTTTAGGAAGTATACTGGCTTCTCTCTATTCATCAACAAAACCACAATAATCACAATCAAACTTGTTATATGATCCCAAATTTAGAAAACTAATACATATTTCTTCATATTTTCCCCGATTTCCCTGATAGCATAAATAAACAAAACAGAAATATAAGTAAAAATGGAGAATCGCGCTATAGATCCATCAGAATTACTTCCTTTGACGCTTCTGTCTAGTTATAGATATAAGGACTTCTTCTTGTTGCAATTTGCATCACAAGATTGCAAACAAAAGATATCAAAAAACTAAAGTTCAAAAAGACACATTCTTGTCCATTCGAATATAATTGCGCGTTTTGTTGACGACGATGATTTCTTTTTCACATCTTTAGAAAGTAAACAAATTTTTTTTATTTCTTCTTTCTGAGTTATTTTCACTTTTATAGAAGATTGTTTGGCGGTATCATATGTCATTTTCAAAACGTTAAAAGAACAATTCTGCTCGGTAAGGAATATATATATATCAAAACTAGAAAAGCTCTAAAAATAATGATTTAATAATACTTATTCATCATAGATCTTTTCCCTTATAGTGAATTTCTATTAAAAGTATTATTAATAGTAATGTAGATTACTTAATACGTAAATATTATTTTCTTTCTAATTTCCGTGAATTTGAAATTCGAAAATTAGCCAATTAAAAAGAATTTCGCCCCCTAATTTCAAATTCACATAAAAAAGCTGAAGTTCAATGATCTACATCTATGGCCACAATACTAGTCCAGTAATTACTATTATTATTCGGGATTTGATACAAGATTATTACACTACTGCTAGTACTAATATTAATAAATAACATTTACCTTATTATTATGCTAATCTGGCTTCCATCATCACATGGTCTTGCAAATCTTAAATTGGTGATGCACACTATCAACAAGTTGAATTTAAAATCGCGTTTCGACGAATTCCATACGCGAAGCAAAAATTATATGCATTTTAATGTTTCAAATAAAAAGATTTTCATTTGATTATTCATATCTATTAGATTGTATGTATATTTGATTCGGATGGATCCGAATTACTTTCAGTAAGCCTTGCAGCGGGAATAACACCATCAATTTTAACCAAACACATCATCTCCTACAGTTCAATGATTTTTCATTTGGTTGCCACGATACGTTTTAGTTAAGTCGTGATTAAGAAAAGATAAAACAGCTGATCAATCATATCCAATAAAACACAAAATCACTTGGATACTTTTTACTTTTAAGTTTAATAAATTTATTAACACTGGTTCTAGATCCTAGTTAAAAATTATATCCGAATCAATCTACAATTTTTTATCACTATGAACTTATTTCATATTAATGTAGATAAATTTAGAAATTTAATTGTAAATCATTTGATTGTGTTCCAATCTAATAATTTATTATTTTTCGATTTCTAGAATCGGCAATTCCAGAATCCATCCAGCCGTGGTCCAGAACATGTTCTAGGTCAGCCGATAGGCTTTTTTATTTCTAAAAATTCTCTAGTATATGCTTTTTTATTATTTTAGGTTATTATTTTTATATTGTCAGAGTTCATTGTTGTTATTTATATATAATTAGCGAGAGAACTTTGTCAGTTCAAACCATTTTTTTTAAAAAAAAAAATTTATTTCTATTCTTCAATTCATTAAATAATTAATTTAACATCTATCTTGAAAAATCAATAAATTCTCTAATAATAAATAATACCAAGTAAAAATAAGTAATATGTAAGTTTTTTTGTTTGTTTTTTTTTGTAAGGCGATAACAATGTTAATGAGATATTGTTATTTCAATTTAATAGTTTCCTCTCGAAACCATGTCAACAAATTCACTTGATTTGGAAATGATAGAAAATGATTCAAACCGTGCACAAGTTGTGGCCACAGCTGTACGAGAAGCGTGCAACATCGCTGCCGCCAGCCAAAATCAGCAACAAGATTGGGAAGCTGCTTGTCAAAGGATTATGAATAACAAACTACTCACCGATTCCGAAAAAACTGCAATACTTGCCTTATTTCAACCTTCTAAAGCTTGAATTAAAAAAAGAAGCTTAGGAATCATTAGAACGATTAGAAGGCGAAATATAGCACCAATTACTCACACCAACCAACTAATCAATCAATCAATCAATCACACATATATATTATCGATTATACGATTAAATATATAAATCGATTCCAAAGCCACACGTAACGCGTTTTTATATGGTCAAAATATTTGTACAAAACTTCTTGTTTCTAAATAGATATACATATATTATGCATATACTTTTTTATTTGTAAATATTCATATGCATGTAATAATAATATATAATGATAAATAACATTTAATTGTGAGTTTAAGATTTATTATTAAGAATTATTTATGATTGGAGTAATGTAATGGTAATAATGAAATCTTATTTTTTAAACATACTGATAAAATGATAATATTAAAATAATATAATTTTTAGAAGTCACAAAGTCCCGAAATTGCATTTCATTTATTATTACAAATAAATAAATAATGTCACAAAAATTATTACATACAAATTTTGTTATCATATTAAGAAAGGTTTCTTTTCGGAAATCAACGACCAAATAATGAAGTTCAAAAACAAACGTAAGTTACTATCATGTTAAAAAAATACATTTGCTTCTCTTTTTTGTGACTTCACAATGATAGAAATAATTGATTTACTATATAAATGTAAATAACGAAGATTCTTAATTTTTTTATAAAATCCTATTGAACCATTAAATTGTGCAAAGATGTTTAAATTTGCAGCTAGTCCTGCGAGTGAAAATTATCTTGACCATTCATACTTGTTAAATATTCTTAATCGGGTTTGAAATTTTATTTTATAGTTCTAATATTAATACAGATGATTCTAAATAAATATTATAAGAGGCACAAACAGCGTTGTACATACATGCATACCTTTATTTAGTCCTCTCTTTCGGAATACGAGAAAGTTATGCGCAAGCAATTATTAAGTGGTTATTTATTTGACAAATCGAAAAAAGTGTTAATTAATTCTATAGTTATGTACATATGCCAGTGAGTCCAAATAGTATTAAGCAACAAAAAAAGACTAAAATTCTAGGGAAGTGTTATGTTTACCTCGTAGTGACATAATTGGTTGAAGTCGACCAAGATATATTAGCAAGGGTCACATGTGAAATCTACCAAGGCAGTCTAACCAAAGACTATCTACTGCGCCTCGGGCTTCGTTCGTATACAAAAAAATATCTTCAATAAATTCCAACACGCCAGAATATTACTCGTTCAGTAAAAACCCTTACTGGTTTATTTAGAATCCTGTATTGTCATCTCTAGAAGGCTTTAAAATTGAAGCAAAAAAAAGGGTAGAACTCTCAGTCCAACGTACCTCAAATACGCCTACAGATGTCGAATTAAGAAAAGTTGTAAAAAATTTTGATAGTTTGTCTAGAGATGTGACTTGCGCATGAAAAAGATGCAACACGCATTGCATCATGCATGATTTTTTTTTTCAAATCATGCAACAATTATATTTGAGAAAAAAAATGTTAATTTTTACCAAGTTATTATTGATTGTATTATTGATATTACTTTGAAAAAATGACAAAATTAAAAATTTGTCTCATTTGTGATAATTTCGTCAGCTTTGCTTCTAAAAGGAATGGGTTTGCTTTTTCTTTTATAAAAGAGAAATAAATTATTGTCACCTGAATGTGTTTTAAAATTGGTATATATATATTTATTTAATTACAAATTAAAATGTCCAAAAAATACCAACAATTATAATATGGAAATATTACAATTGATGGTGATGGAAATGTGGGAAGTGAAAATGATAAAAGTGATGATGATGAAGAAACAATTAGAATAGAAAGTGGTGACGAAGAAGGCAATGGCAATCAGTGATAATAATATTGAAAATTGTATGTAGATATTTAATTTTATATTTTTTTCTTTAATATATTATATATATATATATATTTAAAAAAAAGACAATTTAAAAAAATGCAATGCATGATATTTTGAAATTTCATGCAATTTCCCATCTCTAAGTTTGTCAGATTTACTTTGTAATAGATACTGTTGAATCTGTAAGAAGTTCTCATCCTGATCCAAAATTCGCTAGGTGTCAAAATATTAAAGCTGCATTTTTTACTATATTGTTTTATGGCATTAACTCTGATAAATCACGTGTAAAGTTTTAGCACACGGCGACCTCAAATATAACTGTTCTGCCGGGGTCCTATGGCATACGGCACTTGCTGTGTGTATTAGTGTCATAACCCTTAAGTGTTCGCCCTTAACATTATCATTTTTTTAATAATTTTTTACTAAAGAATAATTAAAAATAGTAGATCATTAAAAATTTTTAAAATTTATATAAAAATCGAAAATTGGCAAGTTTCGTACACACCACTCCAATTTTATTATGGTTCCAAGCCTTTTAAGCAATAATCATAATAGTCAAGAGCTAGTGACAGAAGAAAGTCCTTTGCTTGTTGAAGATGATCATTCTCCACAAACACCACCAGATAAAAAAATTTCCTTGACCTATATAATAGATTCTTTAAGAAAACCTCATGCTTTATGGATGTTACCTTTTAGTTTTATATTGTCTGTCATCATTAGTTCAACAATCGCGCCTTTAGGTTTTTTTTTTAAATTATTTTCCAAATCTTTTTTTTTTGGATAATTGACTATATATATATATATATATATATGTATATTAGTCCAATTTGTTATAGATATAGCATGTTTAGAATACTACGATACAAATAATTCAACAATAACTATAAATAATGGTGATGATGATCCCGATGTACGTAATTGTCGCATACCTGAAGTTCAGTCTATGGCTTCAACTTATTTAATGATCTATCAAATGTCTTTATTCATTGCAGGTTCCTTTTTATTTTAATTGATTTCTTATATTTTTATTTTTATTTTATTATTTAATTTTAATTCTATTATTGCTATTTTTTTTAAAGTTACATTGTCAATTGGATATCTTTCAACATTATCAGATTATAAAGGACGTATTTTCATATTTCGTATATCAATATTTGGTACAATCTTTGCATTTTTAATAATTATATTAGTTGGAAATTATTGGAGAATAATTGGTATAAAACTTATGTTTATCGGTGCAATTGTTGAAGGATTGTGTGGTGGTATAATAGCTATAAATACTGCTTGTCATGCTTACACTAGTGATTGTATATCTCCTGAGAATAGGAGTCTTTCATTTGGATTAATGAATGCTTTTGCTTTTGGTGGTATGACAGTTGGACCCACATTGGGTGGATTGATTATTAAGGTATTTATTTTCCTTTGCTAATAAAATTATATTGTATTTGATTTTTCTCATGTTTTAAATATTAATGATCTTTTTAGAAAACAGGATCGGTGCTTTCGATATTTTATATAGCAATGTTTGCCCAATCAATTTTTTTATTATTTGTTATATTTATTCTGCCCGAGTCACTATCATCAGAATCTCGTAGAAACAATCAACAAGGACAAGGACAACATCATTATCATCAAAATTCTTTATTATCGTTGCCATCAAGATTATTTCAAAAAATATTTGCAGCTTTAATCATTTTTAATGAGACTCCTCAAAGAATAAATTATAATGATAACAATAGTAATAGATTATTATGGAGAATTGGTCGTATGGCTTTATATGTTCTTAGTATAATATATTTCATATATAGATTATCACAAGCAGGTAAGAATATATTTTTATTATTCATTCATTTATTCCTTATATATATATAATTTATTATGTTATTAAATTAGGCCAAAATGAAATAATTGCGCTCTACACAACATATAAATTTCATTGGACACCTTTGGAAAATGGATTTTTCTATTCATTACAATCTTTTACACGTTTCATTGCATTATTGGTTTTTTTACCATTATGTAAATTAATCAATTCGAAATTCATTTCTTCGCACTATAACAATAACAACATTGATAATAATACAACCAATTTAGATACTTGGTTAATGAGATTTGGACTAGTAATGGAATCTATTGGTTTCATGGTATTTGCTTTAGCAGACCTACCAGAAATATTTTATTTGGGATGTATTTTTACATCAGTATCGACCATAATTTCTCCAACAATAAGAAGTATATGTATATCGTTTGTCTCTCCAACAAAGACTGGTCAGATTTTAGGTGGATTAAGTCTTCTTGAAGGAATTGGTAGTATATTAAGTCCTTTATGGATGAATTCTTTGTATAGTTGGTCGGTGAAAAATGAATTCCCAGAAATTGTGTTTTGGTCGAATTCTGGATTATTTATTGTGGCTGCTTTTTTAGGATTATTAGTTTGGTGATGAATGGATGATGAATGATGAAGATTGATTACGATAATTCTGGCAAAAAATTTATTCTAATAATAATAATAATAATAATAATAATAATAATAATAATAATAATAATAACAACAATCACTTTTGATACTAATTATATTAATTATATTATGAAAACTCCAAAACTTAATTGCTAATTACCTATCGAGATGAGATTCTACATATCATTGAATTTTATCACAATCAACTCTTTTTGAAGGTAGTGGTACTATGTGGTTGTTACTGGGTATAATGCGAGTTTAACTTTACTTTTCTTTTTTGCTATTGGAAAAACAGGAAAAAAAAAAAGTAAATGGGGCATGGTTACGTCATCTAATGACATAAAAAATGGCAGGTCTTTTAGAATGCTAATACTAATTACAAAAATAGCTCTATTTTTGCAATTTACATAACCCAGGCAATATTCTTGTTCATTAACAATTCACAATGTTTCGTTTGTGCCATTCTCAAATCTTGCAGTCTATACAATGTCATGAGCATAAGTTCAAGATCTCCACTGACCGCATCAAGTTTTTATATCAGTGATATGACTATTTAACATCGGAGGCACGTCCCTAAGTGTCTTTGGTAGCTTCAAACCAGTCTCAAAAAATCATTTTGTGGATGTTTCTTTTTTGATCACGCACGCCAATGAATTAGCAATTTACCAGAACAAATCCTCATCCAAATCATGCTTGAAATGCTCGAGATTCGCCGCTAATGAATTTATTGAAGTTGTTGAAACGAACGTGACAAAGACAACAAATACTATTAGCAATTAATCGAATATATATATATGTATTACCAATATTTGTCCACAGTGTAGCTTATTTTTCTTACATTTCTAATTGAGTAATTTGCCTTAGAATTTTTTTTATAGGAAAATTTCACAATATGTTAGAGTCCTGATATTAATACCCAAAGCACGGGTAGAGGTGGGACTTGACCCATTGCAGGGCCCTACAATATGTCACATTCGAATATTAAACATTGTACCAATTCTCTAAAGTACTCGATACAAAAAGAATTCATATTGCGTGAATAGAATAAATGATTCAATCATCATCGAAATCTTTTCAACGCATGCTTCTGTGAATTCATCTGATGATTTCTGTCCTATTAGTTCTATTAATTTCTTTTAAAAATAAATGTTATTTGAGATCATCCAAAAATATATGAATTAGGTTATTTTAAGGGAGATATATGTATATCAGAGATTCAGAAACGAAACTTTGGCTTTCCTTTACCAAAATAACCATTGGATTCGTGAATTACCTGAAGAGAGAAAAGGTACCGCTGCTTCCACGATAAAAAAACTTGTGCCAGAAAACGATAAAAGTAATCCAGCAATGGATTAATAAGGAGAAGAATAAAAAGATAGAGAAGAAGAAAATGGCGATGATAAAGAAGATGAAGAAAGAAAAATTAGTGATATTAAGAATGATATTATTTTAATTATCTACTGTATTTTTCTATATATATATACAGTCCCCCAAAAAAGTAATGGCGGGGTGCCTCTATCGAAAAATTCTCAATGATAATTTGTATGACAATGCAAATAGCATTTACGGGGATCAACGCTGGGTTTTCCAGCAAGATAACGATCCCAAACATACTTCGAAGGAAGTTCGTGCAGTCTTGAATTGCATTTGCCGAAGTGGGGCTTGCCTTGGCCATCATATAGCCCAGATCTCAACCCGATCGAAAATATCTGGGCAATTCTCAAGCACAATGTAGAAAAGAGGGTCAAGGCAATGGTGGCGTAAAAACGAAATGTGTCACAGAAGGCATTTATTGCGTTAGCAAGGGAGGAGTGGAATAATATACCCGATGATGTAGTTCTTAGATGTGTTACTAGTATGCCAGATCGCATTCAGGCCTGCATTGATGCAGAAGGAGGACATACCAAGTACTGATTTTTTATAGGTATACCATTTACCTAAATGCGGTCTGGATATAAAAACTTGGAAATATGTTCTTATGTAGAAAATTTTTTTATAATAAAAAAACACCCCGCCATTACTTTTTTGGGGGACTGTATATTAGTTAAATAAACATGACTTATTTTCTTATACCCTTGTCTCCATATTACATCTATTTTAATGATTGTATTAATATATTTTATATTATTATTTGACATATGTGCTTTTTTATTAAACTTATAAAGGGCTAATAAAAAAAAAATTTGCGTCGCCTAACTAAGGATAATGCTTTTAATTTGAAGAGACATATATATACACTCCAATTGAAAGTCATAGATTCTTAAAAATCCTTTCGAAACCTTTATAGAAATAGTTTCAATTTAATCCAACATAACAAACTTAGGTGCTAGATTTAATAAAATCATCTTTAAAATAATGTATTAATACTTAAACTTACATATTATAACTAACAAACTCTTGAAAACAAGAACAAAGAGCCTGGATACAATTTGAGTTAAACTCATTATCTACTGCTATTAACTATGTTATGCTTCCCGTTATCTGTTTTTTTTGAATCTAAACAGTTTCTTTTAGTTTATTTTTCTTGTTGTTCTTCTTGTTTTTGTTGTTCTTGTGTTTGCTTTTGCTGTTCCCGTTCTTCTTGCTCTCGTTCTCGCTCTTGTTGCTCTTGCTGTTCTTGTTCTTGTTATTCTTCTTGTTCTTGTTTTCTCAAAGATCCATATGTTGTTTGTTCATAAATCAACTTAATTATACTGTCTTTTGATTAGCTCCTATTTTTTTAACAATACAAAGATATAGTTTTCATTTTTATGTAAACAAAAATATTGATTATCCTGCAGATCAACGGGGAAGTTTAAAAAAAATATCGGACCAAAAATATTTTTTATCGTAATCCTTTTACATATTGATGAATAACATTTTCTTAAGTCATAGTACTAGTAGCTACATTAGTAGTAATATAGATTATAATTTATAAATATAATTTGTTGCATCAAGCTGTGAATTTATATTTTATAAAATGAATAAAATGTGAATGAATAAAACCAATAATTCGAATAAAATGAATAATTCAAATAAAACAGACAATTCAAATAAAACTAAAACAAACAATTCAAATAGAAAATTTGTATTAATATTAAAATGTATAACTGGAAAATGGCCTATTTCCAAATCGCACCCTGGTCTTCACCTTGTTTGATGCTAATACCTCATTGTGTAATTAATCATTGATTATTTAGTCATTCACATTCATTTATCAGTCAGAAGTGAAATTGGATTGATCAATTATTTGGATGTAAAAATAATAATTTTATAAAAACACAAAATTAGCAGAGGAACAAAGAAAATCGATTAATCAAAATTATTCAAAGGGTAAAACACAGTATTGCAGTATTGATGCTACAGTTATGATTGAACCCAAAATGTTCATGTGCTACATTTAGATCAACAAGTAAGTAAAATTTATTATGTAAAGTTCATTTATTTGGTATTCAAGATGAAGCAGTAAGGGAGCACATTAATTATGTTCTTAATGAAGATGAAATCATAGATGATTTTTGATGGAGTTAAAAAATTGAATAAAGGTGAGAAGCATTTAAAGATTACTTGTGATAATGCTGGAGGACAAAACAAAAATAATATCACTATTTGGTTTTATTTATATTTAGTAATTTTTGGTTATTATGAAAGTATTGAATTGAATTTCATGATTCCTAGACATACTAAATTCAAATGTGATGGTAGTTTTGGCATGATTAAAAAACTTTATAGAAAGACAAGAGTAGATTGTCTGGACCATGTAGTTGATGTAGTGAAAAGATCTATTCCAACTGGATTGAATAAAACTCAATGCTACAAGGCAGGAAAAGGTTTGCAATACTTGGATATTAAATTTATTTTGGGAATTTATTTTAAGAAATTAAATGGTTTGCAAAAGTATCAACATTTTTTTCTTTGAAGCATCTGATCTTGGTACAGTGAAAGTTCAAGAAGTTGCTAATGGACCTTTTTCTGAATTCAATTTGTTGAAAACCAAGAAGGCAGATATTTTTGAAGAAATTAGAGCTTTATCTATTTTAGTGTTAACTCCACCTCCTTTGGATTACAAAAGGCAAGAATACCTTTATAATAATATTCACCCATTTGTGAAAGATGAATACAAAGATATTACTTGCCCAAGACCAATATATACTGGCAATGAATAGAATATTTTGAATAAAATCACCTCTATGACTTCTTACTGTAATTAAGTTTAATAAGTTTAATCTTTTAACAAATATTGTTAGCTTTTTTCCACACTTAAAGTAAAAAAGTACTAAAATAATTATATACTTAACATACCCTAAAGATATAAGTATATTAAAAGAATAAATAAAAAAAAGGAACAATCAATAAAATCATGACAAACATCCTAAAAGAACAACAACAAGCAAATAAAGAACTAATCAATAAAATTGAAACATTGAAAAAGTAATTATCCAATAAAGAACAAGAAATTACTGAATTAAAAAATCTAGAAAGAAGCTGAATTTAAGCAAGAAGCAATCAACCAAATTCACCAAATGTTGTAGATATGAAAAATAGATTTCCTCATTGTAGTGAGAATATTGAACAAGATTTAAGGAAATTGATCAGCAAACCATTAAGAAATCAGTTTATGAATATTTGTTTTCAACATAGTTTTATGTATGACTATAAATGGGAAGGCAAAGAAAACTCAGAAAAAATTGTTGAGAGAATTATTATAGATTATTTTGAAGACACTGAGTTAGCCACTGAATTGAAAAAAGATTGGA